ATTAGGAATTATCTCCCCAAAGTAGATAACTTACTAATATACTGAAACCTCATCAAACCAAAATTCCCATGAAAGTACATGTTTCTGGTCCTGACCTTTCTGGGTTTTTTTTATTTTTGAACTTCAACTTAGCAGTACCAAACCACTCTGCTCCTAAAACTGAAATAAAATTTAGGTCCCAAATAATAAATTTATGCTAAACTCAATTTCAATTAGACTAAAATATAATATGGGCATGTGACTACTCATTGGTCTATAAGCTGCATAGTCAAGCCATGTAAAATAAAATCCAGCTTGGAAACACCAACAGATATAATCAGACTAATATTGACACATATATCTTAAAAGGTGTGCAGGCTGGTGATAGTGTGTCAAAATAGCTAGCTCTTTTATAAGCTCAACTCATTCCACATCCTTTTAAGCATCTTAGCTAGCTAAGGTTCAGATATGTTAACTCCATCTACACCATGGCAGATCAAACAGATTTTCAGTGTTTTAGAACGGAATTTCATTGGATGAGGTGGCATGCCATCACATCCAATCAAAGTTAAGTTTTTGAAATTTGGTCACTTTTCCTTAACGACAAAAACATGAAGAGCACACAGCTGAAATGGACTCATAAATAAACAATTTTCCACTGTTTGTTTGTGATTCTACAAATACATCCTTTCAAATACACATGTAATGGCTTTTCTCTGGTACTTTGTCACAGTTTCAATGTTAAACTTACAACATATCCTTTTAAAGTCAATTGCTTCCACCAAGTTTTGACCAGCATACAATACACCACTGTAAAACAATATTGGTTTAGCTAACATTTTATACTATGGGAGTCAATTCATGAACTCTAACAGATATTGCTAGGACAAAGCACTGAAATATCTGTTCAATCTGCCAAGGTCTTGAAGGGGTTAATATATCATAACCTTTGTACGTGAAGATGCCTTTTAAGATTAAAATAGTAAACCATAGCAAATGGAAATACATGTAGTCCGCAAAGCCAAAACTATTTGCTATTTAGGCATTGCAATCTTGTGTATTTTATTTGGTGATATTTCACATTTACATTGTATTTTTGAATGATTTATATTTATGAAGTCTTTGTACATTTTGATGATGTTATTTTAATTGGTACCATATAGCCATTCTTTAGCTGAGATTGTGTTCATTACTATTACATATATCCATATATTGATAAATTCCATTCTTCTTGGGCTTCTGTGAACATTTAAACTTAAATCTTAGTTTTCCTTTTTTGGTTTACAACATACATAGCTTTGTTTCTTAGCTCCTTTGATCGTATACCAGGAGGGCTTACAGGATGCCCCATTCTGAATTGTCTGATATCCATCTGTTCCTTAGTATTGTTATCGCTACTTGGAGAATTGCCGTGAAACTTTATGCATCCCCAGGCATAGTTTATGGGCCGTGAGCTGCATGCAGGCCACCAAAGCCTTATCCTGTGGTCTGCAAAATGATTGGCATCACAAGGTGTCATGAAAGATCAGAAGGTGATCGAAAATGCCCTCATGCGTCTGTCAGGGTGGCTTGAATTTGCGACCTTTGGTCTAGTAGGATCTGATGGAAACATTGCTGCTCAGACGACCACTTCAGTCATCGTAAAAATATTTTTATTGCTTCTTCTCATCAAAGGATGGTCATATGAGGTATTCATTAAAAGGCTTTTTGTGATGTCTGGTCCTAAATGAAAATATTTACATATGATGCCCATTGAAGCCACCACAGTAGCCATCTTGAAATCTTTGTCATAATTCCTTCTGAACGGAGTAATATAAACATGGGGTTGTCACCATAGCACTTCTTATGATGTCTGGTTTGTTCTAAATAAAAACAGTTCTGCTTGGACAACCAAAATGGCAATCACAATGGCCATCTTCAAAATCTTCACTACCAATGAATGGATGGTCTTATCAATGTGGGCAATTACAAGATGACATGTGATTTCTAGTTCGTGAGAAATGAAACTTTGCTGATCTGATATCCATTATGGCCGCAATGGCAGCCATCTTGAAAATCATATTTTGCTACTTCTGCTAATTAGAAGTTGATACTGACATGAGGTTTTTACCAGAAGACCAATTATGATATCTTGTTGGTTCTGAATAGAAATGACCGCTTCATTGGCCTAATTGGTTAGAGTGGTTAGTGCTCAGCATCAAAAGGTTAGTGTTAGGACTGGTCAGTCTGGTGTCAGGATAACGTGGCAGGATGGGACATCATGATACATGTCTGCGCCAAAATGTCGCAGAACTATACATAACTACATCCTGCCACAGTGCAAACATCATGGTAAAATTATTAAAATTGTTCAAGCTGCATTAAAAATATATATAAAAAAACACTGAATAACGACGGTGCTGATCTGACTGTAGTTATGACCATCACAATAAAAATATTGAAAATCTTATATCTAATCAGTCTCACCAAAATTAATTTCATTTGTCCTAAATTAAAATTACGCTAGTCTTAGCCCGGGGACAAAACATAAACTTGGCGCCACCTTCAAGTGCTTCGGAGATAACCGTATAATAAAGCCAGATGCCGTATAGAAATTTTAAGTACAAGCAGTACTAGTTAAAACAACACAAGAATGGAATGGCAAAAATTTATTATAAAACTTTAGTTGCCCCCCCCCCTTCTCTCAAGCTACGCCACTGGTTACCATGGTTTCATTTTCTTGATAGCACTCAAGCTAATTCAGTTTTAAATAATCATAATTTGTATCATTTTATAAGGAACAAATATTTATTAGGATTATATGATGTCTGATTGAAAGTGTGATCAAAAGTCAGTTTTGTCGTTACATTTGTAAAATTCCTCCACTGTCTGGGAAACCACCAAAATTGGTGGCAGATTTTCTGTGCTTTCTTCATAAAACTGTTTTTTTTTTAGGTGGCAGTAGAGTAGTATTAAATTGTCTGTTATGTACTTGCATTTACGTAATTTATTTTCCCATATAAGGCAATTTTGTAGCCAGACTTGGCATATACCAATGCGGCCAAGTGACGTAGAACTACTTTTGTTAACATGACATACAGATTCAATGATGGCCGCGAATATAAAATTGTGATATTTTAGAATTTAGTTGTTGTAACTATGGTAATGATACTGGCAGCATAATGGCAAATGCGAATAGTGGAGAGGGAAGTGTTTATTCACTGAATGACGGTATCAGTTTTAGTTTTGCTGATAAGAAAATAAAAGTTCAAAAACTTGGTAGAACCGCCACTTGAAACCACAGATACTCGTACTTAAAAGAGTAAAGTTCTTCACCAAAACTCAAAGATCCCAAGTTTGTTCCTGTAATTATACTGCATGGTTACCTTGAAAAAAGTGAATACTTCATTCACAGAATAAAAGTAGTAACTGTACTGTTAGCACCATGAAAATGTTGCCAACTTGGCTGTGTAATAGCTTCATTTTTGCTACTTTAGTAATGTAATGTTTTAGTTTGTACATGAATAATTGTATTTTCGTTTTCATTTTAGATGATGGTATACAGAATAATGGTGTTTATGTGTTATGTTGATGTTGAGTTTATATTAAATGTGTTTTGAGTATTTAATGACAAAGCGATCCCTCCACATGAATATTTCTCAGCAGTGATTCAGAAAAATTGTGTGTATTATTACATTTAATTTCATTAACTTTATATAAGAGGTAGCCGAGGGGTTAATTTTAGTTAAAATAATAACATATTACTGTTTCTGTGAGGAATTGGTTGAGACTTTCAGCAAAGTGACAACTCAAATAATTGCAAATTACATGAAAATGATAGACTATTATGTTTTTGAATAAAAAAAAATCTCAGAATATTCGAGTTTAATTTCCTCTGTTACTATTTATTCCCAGGGCTGTATTATAACATTCTTAATTGACTGTAATATTTGGTTTGGGTGGTCCGTCGGAAAAAATTAGTTGTGATAATATTTTTGTCCACAAATGCGCCTAAGGGCGATCGTTGAAATAACAAAGGCGTAGTAAAGGTAGCAGGTAACAGAGGTGGGTTAAGTTTATCCCCTTGATCGTTGCTAAATAACTGAGGTGTAACCGAGGTGCCAAGTAACAATCCTATGATAGTCACACCTCATTCCTATTGAAAGTCGTAGATTCTTATTCCGTGCAATTAAAGCATATCGATAAATGATTTTTTAAAAACTTTTTTGACCAAATAATATAGCTTTATTCCTGTATGTTTAAAAATTGAGTTCAGGTTGAATTATTTCGCTTGTGTTCCAAGAATCATCTTTGAAGACAAAATAAAAAAATGTCATAGTCTAAAAGATAATATTTTTTGTTGTCTGCAATCAATACGATTTTTTTTTATAGCATGATTTCTTCACAGATGTTAATGCAAAGTTTAGTGAGCAAAAAGATGTTTTTACCAGTGATGGTGATGATGATGCTATTGCTACGATGCGTGACGCATTACGTTTGCATCTGACTGGCAACAAGAGTGAAGATTTCTCCGATTAATTTCTTTAGAGACACTGTCACCTATATCCTACCAAGAATTTAAGACAGTGCTTGAGAAATAAGTAATCACTGAGACGCGACTGATGATTATGCTAGGATGACTTAGTATAAGCCTTTATACCCGAACAGAGCCAGAGAGATTCTTGTTAACGTACCGGGCATTTTATAATAACTATTGGCTTCGAGTGACGCACATGGTACTCTCCATGAGCACATGTATGTCACTTGTCACTTAAAAATCTTAGATTAATGATAAACAGATGACTATTGACAATTTCTGGCTGCTACATGTACATGTATGTTAACACTTTCAGCGGCTGGTAAAACTTGTATAACCCATGTCATCATGTACATCAACATGGATAAGGAAGATACAATTTTTGAAAAAAAAAACTTTGGATTTGGCAATAACATTTCTCTGCTATCGTAATCCCTGTCAGAATGGTAACTTTTATCCATTATTATTTTCACAATGACCATTCTAATTTTCTCCACTGCAGACCGCTCCAGTGGCCTAGTGGTTGGTTAGAGCGTCCGCCTCGGATGCTCGAGGTCGCAGGTTCGAACCCCGGCCGATGCATACCGAAGACTTAAAAAATAGTACTAACATCTACCTCACTAGAAATTCAGCATTAGGAGGTTAGTGTTAGAACTGGTCGGCCAGGTATCATGATAATGTGACTGGGTGGGACATCATGCCATATGTCTTCGGCTTGATGCCCCAGTGCTAGACATCACTATAAACTGGCACACTGCATACATCGTTGCGATATGACTGAAAAAGTTTTAAAGCTACGTTAAAAATCTAAAATCACAGACATTTTCACCACTGCAAACTTTTTATAGGACTGTCCATTATGTAGTAGTCATTTGCCGTTGGCGATCAGCAACCAGGTGGTTCCTAACCAATGTTTTTATCCATGCCTTAAGCAGTCACTAAAGCGTCTCTACATTGACTGTTCAGTCTTACAGGGGCTCGTATCTCTTACAATTTACCTATCGTACATGTACTATATAAAGTAGTTATTTTATTTGTACATGATTTGCAGGTAAGGAATGATACAAGCCCCTGTGTTCTGTCTATGCAAACTACATTTTTGCTTCTCGGGGATGTGATGTGATTATGATTTTTCACAAATTTTCGGACATATCGCTACGATGTCTGCAGTGTGGCTGTTTATAGTGATGTCTAGCACTGGGGCATCATGCCGCAGACAAGTAGCTTGATGTCCCACCCAATCACATTATCCTGACACCAGGCCGACCAATCCTAGCACTAACCTCTTAATGCTGAGCGTCAAGCGAGGCAGCTGTTAGTACCATTTTTGTAAGTCTTTGGTATGACTCGACCGGGGATCGAATCCACGACCTCCCGCATCCGAGGCAGATGCTCTAACCACTAGACCACTGGAGCGGCAGCTTCACGAGGAATTTATTGTTTGGATGATGGATCATCATGTACATCAATATAAATAGATATTTACTTTTTTCTTGTTTATACTCGTAATTCGATGCAAGTCAATGCAAATTTGGAAAAGTGAGGCATTGTTATCATTATGGTAGAGGGTCAAAGCAGTTCGTTTGCTGGATGGTGATCAAAAAAGCAGTTGTGTTATTGCAGCAGAAATAGAAGTCAGCCTTTCTGCCAGTGTGACTGGTATAGATATATATCTTCATCTATGTGCCTGTGAATTTAAGCTATCTCTCAAGCATTTAACTTTTCCTTAAGAAGATAAACGAGTTACACCCCTTTTCATTAAGGTTAAGGGTCATTCAGTATTCAAAACATGCCTGTGAAGTTTCGGTTCATGGGTCATAACTAATATCAATATATGGCTGTATTTTATTATTTTTTTTAATCAGAGGCTTCTCACATAAGCCGACTGATATTGGCTAATTGAGCAACTGACGAATTCAGATATTTTTTTTAGCGTGAAGAACTAAAGTTAGTTTATATTTGCATGTTTGTGATGATTTCATTTCTAGGATTTATTGAAGAGGGCAAGTGACATAAATTTGTGGATAGAACATCATTATGATTTTGTTGCACAATGTACATTCATAGTATAATAATAATAATAATAATAATAATAATAATAATAATAATAATAATAATAATAATAATAATAATAATGAAAATAATAATGACAACGATAGTTGGTGCATGGTATTTGCTCAATAGATATATTTTTTAATTATTGAGAATTTGTATGTAATGTACATTAAAAATCAATCTATTTTATTCCTGATCAATTCATTTTAGCCACTTGCCAGTACAGTCTTTATCCTCCATCATTAGTTTTACTTCAATATTATATTAAAAAGTGCCTTTTACAAAATCGGCTTTTTTTTAGAAGTTAAGTGGGACTAGTACTGTCATATATATATATATATATATATATATATATATATATATATATATATATATATATATATATATATATATATATATATATATATATATATATATATGTGTGTGTGTGTGTGTGTGTGTGTGTGTGTGTTTGTGTGTGTGCTTTGCCAATGTATTCTATTATTTTTACTCCCTTCTGATAAATCCGTACGAAATAAAATTGACATTTACTATTGAGATGGTCGCGATATCGGCGCCTGGGGAAAGGCGAGGTGTTTTTTTTTTTTTTTTTTTGATAATTAATGGTAGTTTGTTACCCAACCAACAATTGACCTTTACCTTATCCCAAACGAGGAAAAGATTCTGCTGCTCCCACCATTTTGATTTGTACGGTTCAATTACACGCAATTAATTTTGCACATTAGCCATGTTTAAACTTTAAGATGTGTAAGGCAACCAAACTGTATTTGGTAGATGGCATATCTTTTTATATTCTTTTATTCTTTTTATTCAGTCATTTTATTGAGAACAAAAGACGTACGAGTTTTCAGCAAAAATGACTAACATTACAAGGTTCAAGGGCTACCGTGTATTTTTAAAAGGACAACTTGATCAGTTATTGAACATGAAAATAGCCCAAGTAATTTGTAAAGTAGACGGAGCTGCACTTCGTTTTCAGATATCCCCCAGGCTGTGAATCTTTTACCAGAAGACAGGATTGTAACCCAGGCTGGAGTGGGCCATTATGGCAACGTTTTTGATGCATGACACAAACTAAGACTTTCACTGGAGTAGGACTAGCTAAATATTGCATACTACAGATGTGTGTGTGATTTTAATCAAACATTTGGTCGAACCTCAGAGAAATAATTATGTAAAGGATAAGGCTAAACTTAATGTGTTACTGTTCTTGATTAGGATCGGATCCCCCCCCCCAAAAAAATAAAACGTGGCAAGGCGTTTAAACATCAATAAAATTAACCGCACCCTTTATTGTGTTCGCAATAAGTTATGTGGTTAAGACATAAGGATAGTGTACGAGACACTCCAAAAACTTTGTTGTTTTTATCTTTAAATGTTTATAAACTGTCAAAATCACTCTACCTTTACTATATACAGGTGTGACAGGTGATACTAAATTAATTCAATCAGAGCTATAAATATATGACATGCGTCACATGACGATACCTGTCGTACAAACATTTTGATAAAGAGACCTCATCTAATCCAAGTTTGTTATGTAATGTGTATATAATGTGATTTTGTTGGTCAAGTAACTGAAATCTTATAAAGTGAATGGAGTAGTTTTCAATGTTTAAAAACCAGAGGGATCGCAGTTTAAAAAGAACTGTGTTAAAAACAGTTACCTGCCTTTATTTACGCCTTTTACATGCATTCAAATTTTCATTAGTTTTAATGCAGTGTTACGTATGTAGGGTATTGTATGGTATACATTTATACAAAGGACTAAATCATTTTCATATTGATTTTCCATTTTATTTTTCCACCCCACTCCCTTTTTTGTGTTTCCGTGAGCAACGGTTAAACATTTATAGTTTTTACGGTTACGTTGTTGTCACTACTGTATTGATGTCAGTATCCCATTTTTGTATCCAAATGTTTTCTGGCGTGGTTGCATGCTAATTTCCAGCGAAATAAAACACATGTGATTTAAAGAGAAATATTTTTAGCATAATAATATTCCAAGGTTATCATGTATATGAACTGTCCAAAAAAGAGGACAGAGTTGATGGATCGGTACAAGTGTCTGTATAGAGATTTAAGGACCGAAAATGAGGACATATCCGGGGAGAAAGAGGACTTATGATAATCCAATATATTAATACTGATAAAGATTGCATTAAGATTTCCCATCCCACTTGATTCGTGCAGCCAAAGTTAAAAAGAGACCTGGGCATTTATTACACCAGTCCTGTGCTACAGCAAGACACCATTATGTTATTACCCCCCACGGCCACCATCATCTGTAGAACAAAGAGTAATATCCTTGACCGTCCGTCTGTCATTTGCTGGTTAAGATTTGCTTTTTTTGTTAGTTACTCATATACTTGCAGATCGACGGTCATATAAATTTATGTGTATACCTGTTGCGAGTGCAACACCCATCTTCTGAAATGTAAACTTGACCTGTATAATAATCTTCGGCGACCTTTGGAAAATCTTGCACTGAATTCGGATTCTAATCAATTACTGGCTGCTGGGTCGTGTTGCCTCGTGTGGCCATTTGTCTTCGTCTGTATATCACTCATGTATCAAAGTTTGATCATGATGTATTTTTATTTCGTGCTTCGTGTTCTTCTGTAAAGCTCTTTGTGGAATTCAGTATGTAAAAGATGTTATTTTGGCAAATATTGGAATGTGGGATGTGCGAGTTATATGAACTCGTTTCTGTCTCATTTTTAAATAAATTTTGTTTCCTTGCTTTTTATGTTATTTTATATTTATTATTTATATTTTCGAATTGACTTAAAATATGCCGATCAGCAGGATGATCTTTCGAATTAAACTAAAACATGCCGATCAGCAGGATGATCTTTCGAATTGAATTAAAACAGGCCGATCATCAGGATGATCTTTCAAATTGACTTAAAACATGCCGATCAGCAGGATGATCTTTCGAATTGAATAAAAACAGGCCGATCAGCAGGATGATCTTTCGAATTGAATAAAAACATGCCGATCAACAAGATGATCTTTCGAATTGACTTAAAAACATGCCGATTAGCAGGATGATCTTTCGAATTGACTTAAAAAAGATGCCGATCAGCAGGATGATCTTTCGAATTGACTTAAAACATGCCGATTAGCAGGATGTTCTTTCGAATTGACTTAAAACATGTCGGTCAGCAGGATGATATTTCGAATTGACCTAAAACATGCAGGTCAGCAGGAAGATTTTTCGAACTGACTTAAAACATGCCGATCCGCTATCATATATGACCACCATTGCCAGAACCAGAAAGAAAAAGAAAATATTTAAAAGACTTTACATAGTGCTGAAAAGATTTTAACCAAATTTCATTAATAGCATCAAGCTCGAAAGTTTTTGTATTTGTTCAAAACATGCAATCTTGTCGCCTTTTCGAAAACCACTCAACATAATTTTACGAAAAAACATCCTGGTTTGACGTTCTTTCAAATGATACGTTATCAAACATGGCTGTCGTTACTTAAAATACTCAAAAGACTGTTAAACAGAATTTGACCATATCTGACAGAAAACATGTTGGCGTAGATGGCTTTGACTTTCTACAATGATGTCGATACGCCCTCAAATATGGCCGTCACCTAAAAACATCTTTTCAAACCACTATAATCAGATATTTACCACTATAATCAGATATTTACAGACAGGATAATGGCATAAGAGTTTTTCAATCTTACAAATTACGGCGATCAGACATCAAATTGGACTGGCACTACAACAAATCAAATTATTTCGCAGAAATTGATGATCGCTCCGGTGACCTAGTAGTGAGAGCGTCCGCCTCTGATGCGAGAGGTCACGGGTTCGAACCCCGGCCTATTCATACAAAAGACTTTTTTAAAAATTGGTACTAACAGTTGTCTCGCTAAGTGCTCAGCATCACGAGGTTAGTGTTAGGATGGTCGTATTCAAAGCCTTAATCACTGAGTCATTGCTCCTCTTGTCGGTGCTGATCTATATGGCATCCAGTTTATGACTCAAGGGTCAGGGCCACATGGAGTATGGAAAGATCCAAGAACGCATGCTAACTACAAGGATTAACGCCCTTTGTAATCGCAACTAAATATATACTTAAATTACGGCCAAATCTCCAGGCACTGGAAGAGATCTAGAGGACAAATCTGGTTTCATAAATTACGTGTTCTTTTTATACCAAGAAATGTAGGCTTGTATGCATGCATGTATGTATGTATGTATGTATGTATGTATGTATGTATGTATGTATGTATGTATGTATGTATGTATGTATGTATGTATGTATGTATGTATGTATGTATGTATGTATGTATGTTTGTATGTATGTATGTGTGCACAGATAGATAGATAGATAGATAGATAGATAGATAGATAGATAGATAGATAGATAGATAGATAGATAGATAGATAGATAGATAGATAGATAGATAGATAGATAGATAGATAGATAGATAGATAGATAGATAGATAGACATTACTAGACAACATAACAATTAGTTTCTTAATTTTTATTCTCAAGCTGACATAATTTAGTCATACAGGTGAGCAATATCCGGTCCACTTGAGCCTTTTGTTTGTATCTATTTTACTTTAGTCTGCGTCTTCAACATTTTCCAGAAACTACGAAGTTGACCCTCAGCTTCTTCTCGGTTACAAGACTGGTAACATAGTTAATCTTGTCCGGGTCTTTGGGAGTGGCGTCCGTGAAAACGTAGATCTGAGAGTTGGGTACTGCTACGGTGGATGCTGAGAAAATAACCATATAATGTATGTAGCAGAATCATTTGTAATTGAGTTACAGTCATTATGCAAATCAAATGATATAAAGGAGTTGTGCACACTGAACTTCAGCAAAGGGAGAGCAATCTTGAATAAAAGGGGAATCATCTTTTTTATTCTATCATGCCACGAAATAATGATAAATACAGTGAAATTCGCCTTTCTCAAACTAATACAGCATTTCTAATACGTAGGCGATTCTTTTCTCTCTTCTCTTTTCTTTACAGGTTGGGCGCCGTATTTTCGAAACATTTGGGACACGAACAGGAAGCACAATCTAAAGGAACAAAAACGTTAACTTTATATTAATTTAATTAAAATGTAGTTTATTCGGGATTTTCATTATTTGGGGACTGTTTCTAAACTGCGAAATTTAATTGGCCAAAATGTGCTCAAAGTAACCAATATAATGTTAGAACTTTGAGCATTAGCTTGGGCGTTTGCACCAAAAACGTTTCCGAAAGAAGAGGCTGGTTAGTCATATGTTACATAAAGCGGAGTTAGAAAAAAACGCGGACAGCAAAGAATGATGGATCGCCTTAGGATCGATTGCTCCAGCCAATCATTAGCATAGTAATTTACGTTAAATTTGAAGTCTTTAATATGGTAACAACTTCTCTTGAAAGTAATATCAATAAAAACATAACTGGATTCTGAAATATTGCAATTACATCTATAAATGTCTATATGCAATGCAGTAACGACCTATAAAGTGCTTGAGAAGCTCCAACTAGCCGGGGCAATATGTTTTAATTAATATGCCATGGCAACACGCTTTTATAAGGACGCCAGGGCAATAAGCGTTTAGAGTGGCTATCATCACATAAAACACCCGCACATATAGGTAGTTACATATTTGGTCAACAAGCGGTTGCTATTTGTAAATGAATGATATGTACATCAAATTGTCCATAGTACTAAATGTTCTTCGCACTCCTTGCCCGAGGAGTCTGCACTCCTTTTGAATGTTCTTTGTTCTTTGCATTTTACGTGCAATTTGCATGACACGTTAAAGCCACACTTTACGTGCAAAAAGACAATTGTGAAAAATCATTTGAATAATACTGAATCTTTAAAGACATTGGTCCTAAACATCATTGGGTTCAATTAAAACAAGACATCATCGACGTTTGATCACATTATGAGCCATATAATTTCTCCTTCGAACTGAGAATCCCTGCCGATGGACACATGTATATGAATTAATCCGATGTTGATCGGCGACATTCGAGTGTCTACCGATTACAGTCAAAAGCCGGAACGCAAAATTTGATAACGGCACCTTTGTAAACAAGAAGTCAACGCCACACTATACCAGATTGTCTTCAGCCCAAGTTTGTGATTCAATGTATTTCAGCGTACCAGTTGATCACCAATATCGAAACACTCCCGAAAATGAAACGAATTACGAGCGACTTATTTGACTACGTTAAGGGTTGGCACCTCCTAATTTTAAAGTGAATATATGAGCGTCGTTTAAACCTAACATCTTGATTCAAAGAACGGTTTATGTCAGATACCTTTTTAACAAATCATTTCCATCCTTCCAAACTTTAATTAGATTATAAGAATGGTGGAATTTGTAATAAACGGCGACATTGGGGCTTTAACATAGCATTTATGTTTTGATACATCCTGGTACCAAAACTTCTGCTTATTCTCTTGATACTAGTAGATTGGGGTCATGCTACTTTACATCTGTAATCGCTTTACTACAAACCTGTAATCTTTGTTCTACACATCTTTAATCACTGTATTACACACCTGTAATAACTCTTTTTGTTTGGAATGAACTGAATCGAATGACATTTGATATTTTGATGGTCGTCATACCCAGCCTAGAGTTCAATCTCATGATATTTACTATTTTGCTTGGTCATCATACCCAGCTTACTTCCGTATTCTTGTTAAAAATGATCGGGTGTTTGTAAGTGTAACCCTAATGTCGCTGTAAGTATTTCGACAGTTGTATACAAACACAGACAACGAATACACAGACAAGGGAAACTCTTCATATATGAAGCATTGCACCAGTGTTATAAGTAATCAGTGCAATGACATCGCCCTCAATTTGTGGTCAAGTTTAGACTGTTGAAAATTAATAAAATTCAATTGTTTTAAAGTATTCATGTGTGAAGATTACGTACCTTAACAAAACGAACTATATTTTCAGTTTAGATTAAAAGGCTGAAAAAGTCGCATACAAACTTTCAATTGTAAGTTTATGTGAAGATAATGTAACGTTACGTACCATACTTCCATTTTTTAATATAAAATAATAGATAAAAAGTCAATAGATTAAAAAGATAATAAGAAAAAATTGCTAACACACTTATAACTTTATGCTTTTATAATTAATTTATTATCCCAAGAATAACAAGCTCAATTAATCTTTTTAAATTTGATTTGTTAGGATTCTTTATTCTTTTCACGACAACAATCTTACTTAAAATTAGGTCGAGTGTTCGTTTCGTAAATTAAAGTAACAAGTCTCGCTTGCTACTCTTTCTCATTTAGAAGATGATGCTATCTGTAAACTTCGTCGTGTCCCAGTCAGAACGTTTCGGGCTATTCGAGTGGCAAAATTAGAAATACTGAATTGCGCCACATCTCCAACTTTTAACAGATAGAATACAATGCATGTCTTTTGTTGAGATAAATTTAAAATAGAATATTTGGACCTTACTGATTTGTGACAGATCCAAGAATGATAAATTCTGTAAAAATAAAAGTCAAATAAATTGAATTTTAAGGTCGTTAATTGTTTCGCTACATTAACAGTGGTTCGGCTCTGGGTATGTCATAAAATACACTAACATGAACTTTGTGATAGAAATAGCAGTTTTAGTTAGGCGCTCTGTATCCCGGATATTCGATTCTCCGCAAGCTATTTTAAGACAAGCCAGGGCTTCCGTGTTCACGATTAACATTGAGACAAAACGATTCGATACCCGAGGTGTATTCTTAGTAAGTTTTCTCATAACCGTGAAAATTGGATCCAGTTAAAACTTCTTATAATAAAGGCGTGGGCGGGTTCCAAATTATAACATTGAGCGTCATAAAATATTAAAAACGTGAAAGTATGGCGTAGATAAAAATTTATATTGCTTCAGACAACGTTAACGAAATGAACACGGTTTATATGCAACAAAAGATGTTTTATTTTTATCGGTAGGAAAAAATCTCTCAGCCTTTATCATCAAAGTCAAAAAATACATTTGAAATAATTGTAAGTATGCATTATAGATTTTGTGGATGTGAGCGATTTAATTCCGGCAGAGTTAGATACAATGGATACAATGGAACGGGTCGATAATATTTTGAAAGGGAGAATAACTTCTAATTTATGTCCAGCTCAATAAATTTCCATAAAACATCAATATATTGCACTATCATTGCCATAATTTACTACATGGCATAAAATAACTTCAATAGTCTTTGTAACACCGTCATGTTTCCTTTGTTATATTCAAGCAGGATGTAAAATATCCATCCATCTATTCAGCATTCCAACAACAGTAGCATATCGCTGTTTGAGAGTTCTGTTACATTTTAGGATTAACTCCTGTTTTCCCCAACTTTACTCCGTGGCAAACACATTATGCGCCATGAAAAAAAAAATATGAACGACAAAACGCCAGGACGAAAGTGGAGTTGCGTTGTGAGCCTGGAGTTAGAAAGCCCTAATTGGCACCCTTACCTTCCCTCCCCTCCCCTGGATTCTCTACAAATGAGTGTATCTTTGACTAACCAGCATAGGCCGCCATGCGAATTTCCACTCAGTAACATTGTCAGATTAATACAGGCGTTCTGAGCTCGTTGGCTGATTGATGCGCTAACAATTTAAGGTGTTTACTGGCTTTTGTTGCCTTTAAATCAATTACCTGATTGGGGTGGCTAACGCGCGGTTCCGTGGTATTCAATTTCGATGAACGGGATTTCGAATTCAGCCATTCAAATTGCTTTATCGTCTTTGGTCATTAAGGATAGCCTTGCAGTTGTACTGAGCCTGCGTTGTGCCATTGTTTGCTAATTTTTTGAATAGACATGTAGTCGCGAATGATTTCCGGGCGA